TCTTGAAAAGACATTTTCAAGAAGTGTAAATTATTAAATAGCCCATTTAATTAATCTTTGCACTGTCTCAATAGAAACTTTGAATTTTTATATCATATCAGTAACGAATTAAAATATCGAAATACAAAAAATAGCTTCAATAATATAGTTTTCTGTATTTCCTGACTAAGTTTTGATGTTTATGTGAAAAAAAAAAATTATTTGATGAAAAATAAGGTATGTATTTTTTGGCGACAAAAAATCTTTTTTTAAATTTTACGTTTGATCAAAGAATATAAAAAGTATATGAACGAATCTGTTGATCGATGGAGCAAAATTATAATATTTCTTTTTATCGATTTTATCTTTTTAATGGCGCACGTTATTGATCCACAGAGGTCAATCAAAGGTTATTCTATTTTGAAACCGCTAGCAACGATCTTCGTAAGTTCGATTCTAGCCCGAAACTTTTGCATTCGTATAAACGACGCCTCATTAAATCGTTTCACGTCGCATTGGTATACCACCAGTCGTCCATTAGCTCGGATATCCTGGCTACGCTTCACGACTTCAACTGAATACGCTGCAACGTATCAATGTTTATACCTATATCGAAGCTAGTCGTAAAAGAGAGGCAAAGCAAAACCTCAATCGTGGATTGGGATATTTTCAGTGGTCGCATTAACCTCGCTTTCCAACCTCCGCGTCCAAATTTTTCCCGCCATTACGATTCAACCGTTGGATATGCCATTTCAGCCAGTTTATCTTCTGCCAATGCTCAACGAGCAAAATAATGCTTATAAATAAGTTCACGATTCTTCTTCCAGTCCAAGTTTTAAAACGGTTTAAATTACGTCTATAAAACCGTAGATGATTTAGAGTGGAAAAATATATCATTTTCTACTTTTCACGATAGGAAAAGTTTTTATTTTGTTACTTTTTAATAGTTCAATTATTTTCGTCTATTTATTCGTCGAAAATATTAAAAATTATGAGACAATGAATAATTTAAATAAGTCGCAATGAAACTCATATTTTACGTCATATTTTTATTTAACGGGTATAATGTAAATATTAGAGATATTCGTAAATAAATGAAAATGTATTGTCAAATAATCGTGAATGTAACGTAGAGATGCCAATATTTTCTAATGAATTCTCAATTAAACGTGGCAATGTTCCATATCATAGAAATCCCTATATCCTCGTGATGAAAAGGGCTTAAAATAATTCTTTGAATTCACGAAGAAAAATAAGAAAATTATATTAGTAAATTAATTTGTAATTGGTAAATTATTTCATTTTTTGATAATATTCACTACTATCTATTAAGAAATAATCTCTTAAGAAATAAATATTATTTCCTCAAATGCAAAAGTGTTTAAATTCAAATTTGTATCAATAATCGTTAAATCCAGCATTCAAAAGGAAAAACGTGTTATTAAATTAAATAATTCGATCTTGAAATCTCTTTCTCGAAGTAATTCGATATATCCTAAATCCACACGAATACGAGATTCCAAGGAAGATCGATGTGTAGAATTGTAAGCCAGCTCTTCAAATTAAGGACATGCGTAACGCTCTAATTATACGCAGCGTGTATCCGTATTCAATGCAGTAAATTAACATTAGAACAGTGTGCAAAATACGAAGAACTGTCTTAAAAAGTAGTTCATTAGTATTCAAACATTTTAATCTTCTTTTGTACTTTTTTTTTTTTCTATATTTGAAACAAAAAATATTCTCGATGTATATTTAGAATAATTCGCAACATCTTTTTGCATGTATTTCACACGGTGTGAAAGAAGGCTTAAAATTCCTAAAAAAAGGCGTACATACAGTTATCTATTTGTAAGCGGTGCAAAACTTGCAAACAAAACTCTCGAAGCTTTTACGTGCCGTGTTCTTGCGGCTGAAACTATTAGAAGCTTTTAAGTGTTAGCCTTTTGAAAAATGATTCCAACTTTTTATTCAATGTTTCATCCAATGTACAACGTTGTCTGAACATCCACCAAGTCTAATAGACGTTTTTTTCTCGCATCGTCTAACACGTGATGTTAAAGATGATAAATTACGAACAATCGTTTAACCAGTTAGAAAGTAATTTTTCAAGCTTGATACACAGCAATAAATAGCACGTGTTCTTTTTTTTTCTAGAAGAAGATTCTATTTTTATCTCAACAAACTGAATTCTACGATTCAAACGATTATAGTTTCATCCAATTAGAATTGTGCGCATTCGTGAATATATATATATATATATATATATATATTGCGTTTAATTTATCGAAATTGGACGGCATCGAGTTTGTCTCAATCAGACTGACGATGATGGCGAGAGCCTGTATTCATCGTTAAGTGTGAAACAGAAATGCGATCCCTTGTATTATCTCGTAACCGATGGATCGATCATCGTCATTGCTCGTTCCAAGTAGATATTCTTCAAGAAATTACGCGAAAAAACCTTAATTTTCTTTTTCATTTTCATTTTCGTTCTCGAACGAACGATTATTTATTTATTTATATGAAATATATATTTATTACGAATATTTATTTATATCAAAAATTAACTAAGAACCGAAATAATTAAAAATTAAAAATTAAAAATAATTAAAAATTATCACCTCGTTGAATTTTCAATTTCCTTTTTTTCTTCCTCGCGACCAATTTCTTCGATCTGTTCCGCGAGCAGATCCAGAATATTCCGGTTATCGCGGGAAGGAAGAACTGGAACAAAGCGGCCACGATTGCCGAGGACGCTGTCCAGGACGAGATATTCGCCGTCCTTTGTCCACGGGAAATAATTCGATATATCGGGCTTTTGCCCGTATCACGATCGTCGAGTGTCATCGCTACTGTCAAAGTGTCCTTTTTATAGGCAACGGGAGAATAATAGGTGGAAATAATACGTCAAGCCAACTGAACGCGACAGCTGAATGTTCTGGTCTGCTCCACTGGTGCGCTTGTCCATTCTCTCTTCCCCTCTTATCCTCTCGTCACGTTTCGTATCCTCGCGTCGAGATGGTTCCGCGAAAAATTTTTACTTTTATACTAAGTAGAATACATACACTAAGAGGCGTAAGAGACGAGTCTTCTAACTAACACTTCGAAAATAACTCGAGTTGGCGTTTGAAAAGTTCACTTGTAGAATAATAGTAGTTCTGTCTGACACAATTGATATAGAATCTATCTGTCTATCGAACGTTCTTCTACGTTTGAAAACTTTTTTCTTACTACACTTGAACATATTAAATGGAATACTAGTTTCGAAATTTTATCGCGAAACTTGAGAACTTCTTTACGCATGATACCGAAGTAATTTAATGGAAATCTGTCTGTGGGGAATAAGTTTCAAGACGGAGTTAATTGATCGGGTTATTAATGCGTCGGATGTAACTCTAGAATTCATCGTGAGAGCATCCCTGTTCAGGCAAGGGTAATCGAAACCCTTGTTTTGTTAATATCAAATCGCACGACTCATTCACCCAGTCATTTATCGTTGTCTCAAACCTTTCTGGCGCACGAGACTTCCTTCTATCCAATTCAGGTCACGGATAATTGATATTAGCCATTTCCTTGATGCTTCTTCTAATCCCTGTTTCATTACTCGCTCATCACCGCACCGAGTATCCAATTCTCAAACGGTGGACTCTATTATAGCTCGACTTCGCAACATAGCCCGACCGCGTAAATTTCCTCTTACGAATTATAAACAAGATACATTGCCCGCTTCTAAACATGTCTCGTGTGATATTTAGCTTGGAAGTAAATGGAATAGGATGCTTTCTAAACGACATGTCTAATTTGTGTCGTGTAAATCAAGCATATGCGTTTTCAAAGGAAATATTAATATTGTAATTAGGAGATATATTTCATTTTTTTGACCAAAGTAGTTCTCTTTGTTTGTTGGTAAAAATAAAAAGTAATAAGAAGTAAATATGATATTAGAAAGAAAAATATATATAGTGGTTTTACATATATTTGAATTACGAAAATTATATTTTATTTATTTTAAACAATTTTACAATTTTCATTTTCATAGCATTTATTTACCTACAGTTATCTACTGCGAATTTACTTCTGAATTGTTGGAAATAGTAACGAATAAGGCCTGTAGATGGCTACCAAACAGAGACGCCATGATCTTCTTCAGTTTGAAACGGTAGTTTCACCGTGTGTTTTGTCACAATATTTTGCTTATGCTTCTTAAATCAGTGCTATCAAATGTCTTTTATTATTGTACAAAATTCATTTTTCGCGAGTGATATTTTTGTTCGATTTAACCAGATATCCACTTATATTCGCTTATATCACTTGTGTAAGTTTTTGCATAATATATCGCTTCCCTCGTTTATATTCCATTTGGAATTCTGCTATTCCACTTGTTTTTCTTATTTCAAGATAAAAGATGAAAAACGGTAGAATGGATTATTTTCATTTGTAACATTACTTGTTACTTGTTGTAGTACTTTTTCAAATCTTAAACTCGTATAAAAAAATCACAGAAATATTCCAATTACTCGTAACGGTTGATAATTCGAATTACTTTTTTAAATATTGTCTATTTTAATCTAATCTTAACTTAATTGTAATGTGAGAATACAAATACTTGTTTATAATAAATTAATATCAAATAGAATAGATGATATTCGCAGTGTAGTATATTTGGTTTACACAGTGATTTATATATTTATTTAGTTAATGTAAAAAAAATTTTCACTAAATCTGCAAAAATTTTATAACCTTTGCTTTGCTACATAAGCGTTTTTTGTGGCCAACAAATGCTATAAATTCACAGCTTAAAATAGAAATTGCTAAAAATTAGCAAAGAATATATCTCATATATCATATAATTCATTATACGCAGAATATAAAAGATATATGATTCCTTCTCAATTTTTTTCCATTCCAAGAACCATCGATCGATAAATTCTCAAAGTCAAATAAAATTTCACCCCACTTCTAAATCCATCTCTCAACAAACAACACGCTTCAAACTAACTCTCGTCTACTATTTTCAGGTACCACCGCTATACACTACTTCGATGGAAGTTAAATCGTGATCGCTTTGGCGAGAGGGCGAAGGACAAAGAGGAGCATTGAGTGCTTCGCCGTAGAGCTCGTCGAAGAAGGAGTGCAAGCAAGCACGTGACATGAGTACCGTGACCCGAGACACTTGTTGCACGGCTGCTGTCCCTTAAAGAGTCTCGTATACACGGTGTGTTCCTTCAGTGCGACGAGATTAGTCAACGTTCGAAATAAAACGCGAGAGAAAGAAGAGAAAAGGAAGAGATAGGTGTATGCACGTGTCGTTCGAATTCTGTTCAATCTCGCGTTTCCTCGATACGTACTCGTGGCATGTCGGTGATATATCTTTTTAGCCAGGCTCGTGAGAAATCGCGTTTCATGCTCAAGGATCTTCCATTGACGAGCAAATCGCAAGTGGTAATCGTGTGATGCCGTTAAGACGAATTTTTTTTGTTTCTCGACTACTGAGTGCACGCGTGTTTCGTGGCTCTGTCTAAGATCGGTAGATTTCGGTTTCGAGTTTGATCGCGCGAAAGGGAGGAGGTCGATCGTAGGAGGAAGGAAGAAAGAACATGAACGTGATCGCGCGCTCAGGCCGGTGACACCGGTCGAGGTTGTGTGTGCGTGTGTCTATCTTCGCTGATAACTCCCAGTTGGTGGACTCTCACTGAGACGACGGATATCTTTGTTCGGTGAGATCGTATTTTGGATTTATTTCTTTATTGATATTAAATTGATTTTGGGAAAACTTTGGTAACTAAATTTTTATCTACCGTAATATTTAACTTATAATCTGATATGCATATAAAATGGAATAAAATATTTTAACGATAGTTTAATTCACAATCTAGTGAACGTTATTAACAGAATGCTATTAATTTAACTAAATTAAATTAAAATTTGAATATTGAAATATAAATTACAAAAATTAATACGCGTACAGTTGATTTTCGCATTAAAATATTTAATTGACTCATGCTTCTTGTTTAATATCAATGATAAATTGGGTAATAATTTGCTCGCGATAAAAAAAGTAAATGGGCATAAAATGATGAAAAAAACACGAGATCGTGTAAACATTGCGCGAATAAAAAGTACGAAATAACAACGGATCCGTTATTTATTTCGATTTGGTTTGTTTACCTTCCGAGCTTGACTCACATCTGTCCACATTGTCCGAAATATCGAAATATCGGCCGGCAAGAATTATTCCATTATCCGGCACATATAAATCGATTATTTTTTATACCCGAAATCAATTGGAATCAATTTTCTTCAATTTTTTCGCGAATGTGATCATCTTCGTATCCATCTTTAAAAACAATTTCAAAGTTTCCACATTAATTTCAATGTGTGAACAAGACGCTGTCATCTATTTGAACAACTTCCAAAGATTTAAATTACATCGAAGATGACCACGATAACAAGTTCAATCGATGTCTCGCATATCTCGTTCCCATTGATTGATGATCTCCAATCTTTCCAATTGAAGAATGTATCAAATTTAAAATCGTAGGTGGATGTCGTCGGGGTTGTAGAAGGGTGTATTCGGCGAAGGCAGGAAGCACCGAAGAACCGGAAGGCTGGATCACCTCCGTGGAATGTCTTCGGGCGCCAAGCGGCTGGTGCAGTCGCTTCGGGGCCGCAGCGGTGGCGGGAGGGGCGGCAGCGGCGGGCGGGGGGAGGGCGGAGGGGGCGGGGAGGGAAGCGGGGGCGGCGGAGGTGGTGCGAGCACAAGCGCGACCAGATTGTGCCACTACGACAGCGGTCACGAGCTCGACGAGATCTCGGTGGTTGGCGCCGCCATCAGGGGCAGCGAGGGCCTTCCCACCCCCACCACACCCTGCCATTGCGGCGGCCTCAAGTACGGGAGCGGGCAAACGCTGTACAGTATAGCCGGTCTGGTGCCCCCTGCGCCCGCTGCACCTGCGCATGGAGCACAATCAGGTGAGCGATTTTCCACGAAAATTTAACAATTTTGTTTCTAAAAGTGTGTATCAACTATTATTAATTATTTCTTATGTGATTGTGAATAATTATTTAGACTCCTAGCCTTTTTTGTACTTTACCGTTCTACGCTCCAAGGAATGTAGTGGGGAAGGGGGGGGGGCGGAAAGTCAAGCCTGTATCTAAAGTATATCCTATATATTTTATGTGTGTGTTGAGGGACGCTGCATGTTAGTTCTTGCATATAATAAACTCGAACGAACAGTCCAAAGAAATAAGGATTTTGTTCGAAACAAAATGTATTTCACGCTGGATTACGAAGTATGCTTTTAAAGTTTCCGGTGTTTCTGCCGATTTTTCAAATTTCTTCTTTAAACAATCTCTTGAGTCTCTAAAATTCTAAGTGAATATTATTATCTCATGGCAAAACATTTTTAAAATATTATTTATGCATATGTTTTTATGGTTATATTTAAGGTGAAACGCTTATCATCAGAATGTGTGATATCGTACAATTTTTGTTTGAAATTATTAAAAAATGAAATGATGTGGATAAAACTGGGAGTGAAACTTCAACTTTGCTTTTGTTCCTAAAAATTGACTTTTAAATAAGGAACAGTTGCTAAGTTTATAGTGGATTTAATGAATTAATTTTATACATGAATGCTATGTAAATTATATTTTTGATTAAAGAAAGCATTTTCATAGAAATACATGTAGAAAGTTATGAACGTAAACTTCCCTCCCGGTCTATTTTATTATTTTTAAACGTTATTCCTATGTATCGTTTTCTTTTAAAATGGTAATAAATTCGGATAATCTGCTTCTCTGAATGTTTGAAAGAAAAGATGGAAAGAACGAGGATTTCCATAAGCAAGTAGATTATATAATGTCAGATTCTCTTGATGTACGCTTTACACGTGTTCCGACATTTTTCATTATTGTTTTTCCATATTTTTAAATAACGAATACAAACATTGTATTTCGATGCGACCACACGATCAATATCCGCATTATCCCTACAAAATATCCACTTGCATAAATATTCATTTATGAGGGAAATTTTAGATTCTCCCTTAATTAACCGTATCCATGCAAGAAGAACTAACGTTATTCATTAACTAATATTAATTCGAGATCATATCGACGAGTTTACCGTTACACAATACCGCTTCAATTAACGTAAACAATATACCCGATAAACAATTATATTTCCATGGAAATTGTAGATGGATGGAAATTGATTTGAAAAAAAAAAAAAGAAGAAATAAATTTGTTAAAATGTCTCGCGTTATTATAATCTCGTTTCTTTTTTTTTTTCTTTTCAAATTTTTGAAAACGATCTCGATAAAAGGCAATGCACTCACCGAGCTCCCAGGTCACTGTACTTTCACAAGTTTCCGGAAATTCTTCCGCCTTTGCGTTCTGACAGAGGGATATTTCGCGTTCAACAATTCTTGTTGAAAAAAAACTACGCACCATTGTACGCCGTTCGCGATCCTCTCTCTCTTTCTATCTCTGTCTCTGTCTCATACACCGCGTTACGTGTAACCGTATAAAGAGAGGAGAGGAGGAAGGGATAGGGATTTATTTCGATTCCATGTCGCGTGGATTTTCATTCTTTCAGACGAATAATTCATGGAGCAGTCAGTCTCTTCCCTCAACGATACATTCTGAATTCTTTTAATCTCCGACCGGTATATTTTCACGATCTTTGGCCACGTAGCTTTCCGCCATACACGTTTCCTATATTTCTTTTTATACGAAGATTAACCTTTCGAAGATTATTTTTCACAACGAGTATATTTCGAATCAGTTTGAAAAAATTTAAGAGAAATAAAAATACTTCACTTTTAATTTCCTTACCTCTAATAAAATTCACTGAAATCGTTGTCCAATTACGGAATCGCAAAGAGTTAGGTTAAATTAGATTAATAGGTTAATGCAAGCACAAAATTAACTCCTGTTGAATAAATTTCATATTCACTAATTCGGCGTACCAAAAAAAAAAAAAAAAAGAAAAAGAAAGAGCGTATTCGAAATGGACAATTTTGTGCGAATCGTTATGGCGGCTCTAATTTTTATCTGTAGCTGCGCCTGCTCGTGGTGAAGCATTTAGCACGAGGATAGCGCATTGGTAGTGGCTCGCTATCGTAGAGAAGAAGTTGCTGGGTGTGCACGTATATTCGTAATATAAGCGCAGTAATGCCCCTCGCGGGAGTTTGCCACACTAACATCTATGATAAGGGAGTAGCACTTTTCTCTGCAATTTGCGTCCAGATGTTATCTGCAAATTATTTGCCGCGATTTGTTAAACGCGTTACATTCCACGTTATGGCATTTTAAAAAGAATTTTTCGATAACTCGAGGAAAGCTTATCTCGTTTGCCCAGTCGCGTGAATTGTAAGACGTAAATGTATAATTTGTAATTTCTTACGAAGTGGTATGGAATATATATACGCATATATACGAGTAGGTTAATTCAATGCATCTCTTTCCTCTTGCATATATAAACGTTGCCATGTTTTTTCATTTAAAACGTTTCTACAGCGGGCGAATATTTCTCACGAGGTATATACGGTGTTGCACTTATTAAAGTACAAAACATATTGTCTAATATCCCTCTCGTTGAATAAAATATTGACATGTGATGTTGTAAAGAATGGCGTCTTTATAATGGAATTTTAGAAAAGAGAAATAGGATAATTTTTTTCCTTTCGGTTCAGCACGATTAATCGAGTAATTGATCGCGAGCATAATAAACTTATACAATAGTCTACAATAGCTATCTTCGCACAAACGTAAAACAAAAGAAAGAGATTAGTTTGGGAAATAAATCTCTTTCATGGAAAAATTCATTTTATTCATCTGCGCAACAATCTTTTCTCAATCCATTAAATAAGTTAAATTAATTTCTCTCTTTTTATGAATGACGATATCCGATAACCGGTTCGAGATATTCTATGTAGAATATACAATTGCATAAAATCTGACAAAATTATCGAATTCGTCCGAATTATTTTCGATCCTAATAACAATTCGGAATTTTCTATAATGATTTCAAAAATGAAACAGTCGTTTCTTTTTATTATTAATTCATCTCGACTAATTGGACGAGATATCGCGTGTGCGATTTGATTGGAATGCAAAATGGGATAGGCTAACAGCAGTAGGGATGGTGGACAGCGCGTAATCGAGGCCTGCTAATGATCTTGTCGCCGAATCAACCGAGCCGTCGTTACTATTAACGATACATTCGAGATGAGAAATCGCGGACGTTAATGCGATTTCACGACTGGCGCGCATCGATCCCATCCACCAGATATCGCCACCGCTCCGTGTCACGGCTTGATTGAAGCGATCCGTGAACGTAAACCGGTCCAATTAAATCGGTTCTCGTTCATTCTCCACCATTTTTTTCTCCCCCTCTCTCTTTCTCTCAATTTTTTTTCCACCCGTTGTTCGATCAATTTTATTTGCGCGCGTGTATTCTTATGCGTATGTATGTGTAAACTTCGAGTATTAAATTAGAGAGTTTAAGAAATAATATTGGCGTCGTACATTTCGATATAATAGGAGCAAATAATTGGATAAAATTATTTTTTCTCACTTTTGAAGTTATATATGGAGATTTAATTTTTGGAAAACAATACTGCTTTTTATTAAATAAATTAATTTTTCATTAAAAATATGTATATAACAAAAGTACAACTAAATATATATAAAAAGAAATACATAATAATATATAAATATATGTATAAAATATTTATGATTTGAATCCTTAAAACTGCGCAAAAAAATTGTAGCATGCAATTAAGAAAGCGTTTCGAATTTGACACGATAAATTGGACTTTGAGAATTGGAAATGGTATTCCAAAGAAACAGATATTAAGAAAAAAATATTTCTCTTAAAAAAAAAATTATGGTTATTTGCTACGGGTTGTTTTCAACAATTCCATCCTATAAATTACCCGATAAATATGGGCTTAAATAGTGATAATTTAACGAAATAATGATAAAAACTGAAAATTATAAAATGAAAAATACTGTAAGAAGACATACTGCTCAAAGATTGAAAAGAATAAAAAAATTACCAACTAATGTTCGATATATTGTTATTACTTAATTTTAAGTTTAATTTATAAAAAAAAAACAAAAAAATTTATTGAAAATTTATAACGATTTAAATTAAAACAAATGTTTCTAGATATTATAAAATCCGTTATTAAAATTAAAATTTAAATGCTTCTTAAATAATTTACAGAATTTTTAATCTTTAAATTTGTCGATTAGTTCTTCTAGTCTATATATGCGTATATTTGTTTAATCTGTAAATGTTTAAAAAGAAAATTTAAAATTTTAACGTATAAGAATTTTAAGAATATATAGTTATTATACATTGAAACAATTATTTGCGTTGTGTGAAAAATTAGAAGAAGCTGGCCGTGATAAGGGGATTACGATCCACATAAGAAGAAGTTGGAAGATTTGTAAATGATCGTTGTTAAATGCACACTTGTGTCGAAATACCTTTTATTCAAAAGTGTATTTCGAGCACATTAAATTTTCAATGATGTAGCAGGCCTCCCAAACGGAGGTGATAATGGAACGTGCGAAATCGGATAAAAGGTCTGTGCAGAGGGCTCGACTGTAACTGGCGCGGAGCCAATATTCTTTCCTCGTTCGGTCACGTTCGAATTTTAAATCGTTACAAAGCAAGCTTCCTAGATTCATAAATCTATTCGCCATTTCCGGTGGAAAAGAGGCAGAGACGGACCGCTGGTTTAACATAGTTTTAACGTGATAAATTCCTCTGACTTTAAACATCTCAAGAATCTTTGGACGAGAAAATATCGAACTGCGGAACGCTTCTTGTTTAGATATTTTTTTTAAGGAATAAATATCGTATATACGAGATTAAGTTAATTGTAACAGCAACAAAATTTATTATTTATTATATATAAATTCACAGAATATTCTTTATTATAATATTTTTTAAG